ATGATTATAAGATGCACATTCCAAATAATTTAAAGTTAAATATATTTAATCAATCATCACAAAAATTAAGTTTACCAATAACATAAAGGACCAAATGCTAAAACATCCACCCTTAACCGCTAGTATAAACGATATGTAAATAACTTATTATAACAAATTAAATTATATTAATCATATAAAATTATACTAATTATATAAAATTATTTATTATACTGTCAATGTATATAACTGATAAATCCACCTATCACTCTCTAGGTTGATAGTGATATGGGAAGTGGAAGAATGGGGAGGAATAGGAAACAACATAATTGATGTAAGGGGTTCACGTGGTGAGTGGTACCACATGCGCAAGAGTGTTAAAAAAAAAGAAGAGAAAGCAACTAATAATTCATGAGATGGAATGGAACGGTTGAAATTCCTCTATTCTCAATTAGATATTTTAAAATTGAGTTTCTATAACAATAATAATAATATATTCAATGTTGTGGTCTAAAAAAGATAAGAATAGTGTATGTTGACCTAACCTCTACCTTAAAGCAGTGGCGGAGCCACCTTATTGCTAGCTAGGGGTTCATCCGAATCCCCTTCGGCGAAAAATTATATTATTTATACACGGTTAAAATAATTTTTTAGGTATATATAGTAGATGTCGAACCTCCTTTGGCAACTTTGTGTGTCTATTTTTTCAAATTTTGAACCTATTATTGAAAATTTTGGCTCCGCTACTGCCTTAAAGGTAGAGCGACTCATGTTTTCGATAGACCTTCTGCTCAAGATTGAAACAGTTTCGGAAGAAAAAATAATAAAATAACAATACTATATTCAAGCTACACAAAATTAAAACATGTCATAATTAAATTCGAATCTCTGTGAATAAAATAAGTTCTATTGGGAGCGCAATCCTCAAATATGGATCATGTAATACGCGAATTCAGAATTAGTCAAATCTCAATATATATACCGAACATCGAGCGAAAAACCTTATTAAAAAAAGGATTGAAAGAAGAGTCTAATAGCAAAAAGAAACAAAAATCAAACAATGTGAGATATGTTTATATTTAGGTCAAAAAACTTGTTTGGAGTACTATTATTACATAATAATAATAATAATAATAATAATAATAATAATAATAATAATAATAATAATAATAATAGAATATTTATAATAATAATAGTGGGGTTATTTTCTTGGTGGTGGGAGAGGCGGCGCAGGAGTGAAAAGTTGCATAAAAATGTGGCATTTATAAAGTTGAAAGGGATGCTATATTATGGCTTTTTTTCATGATGAAGGCAACGGCATTATTTTCCAACATTGGTAAAAAAAAAAAAAAAACTTGAATCAAGGGGTATTTGTAAATAAATTTAATAATTGAAGTTAAATAAACGAACCTTTATTCAGTGTACTATCTTATATATCTTGACCACAAAGAAGTTGCTTCGTAGAATGTATTTGAAAAAATAATACATATATCAGCCTTGATATTATTTGATATCTTATTTGGTACTATTTTTCTAACGTATATATTAGTTATACATCATATTAGTGAAATTACAGATTACAAATTACAATTAAAAAATAAAATCTCTTCAGGCTTAATATACTAGATCAAATTATGGATAATAAATAATTTCAACGTTACTAATATATACTATAATTAATATTATTTTTATACATTCTAAAAACGATCCGAAAGCATATTTCACTATGACATTATTTGGATCCTATATATTTGTAATTGGCTATCTGAACAAAATGCTTAAGTCAAAACATGACAGATATGAGTTGAAATAAAATCATTCAAGTGAATAACAAGTTGTGTATTATGAAATAAAGATATAATAGATAAGAAAAAGAGACAAAGAGTTGAAGACAAATTTATGTTGAAAGTGAATATTAATTTATTGTAGTCAACTGGTACTACTTTTCAGAGATTTAATAATGAACATAAAAAAAAAATATGTGAAAAAAAGAAGAAGATTATTTAGAAGTTGAAATTGTGTTTTGAATATACATTTAATCAGTGATAATTCAAAATGTTATCTATAGATTTACGAGAATCTATTAACAGTTGCATAAACTCTACATATATATAGTCACAAAATATCTATAGATATTTAACTATACATATATTCACTATATATTAACTTCAAATTATTATAAAAATTAATAAACTTTAAATCTAGATCTGCTTCTACATCTAACTTGAAAAAAAGTACTAAAAAGTTTGGAAAGTGGAAAAAAGAAAAATTCACTTTTTCTAAGCTCATCTTAAAAGAATAATAATTTAAAAATAATTTAAAGCTCATATATAATTAACCATACCTTGTTTTGAAAACAAAAATCAGGAAAACAAAAATCATGTCAAAATGAGATTTAATAATGGCAAAAGAAATCATTTTAAAATTTATAATCTTAAAAGTTTCATAATATTTGCGTGTTTATAATTTTTTTTTAACTTATAAACTGAAATATATCATTGTATTTGTATAACTATTAAATCTTCTCATTAAAAAATAAAAATAAAAATTGTGTCATTTTAAAAAAAGATTAATAAAAAAAATATAGTATCTAAAATAAAACGAAAAAAATACATCATAAGAGCTTTGGACATATGTTTTTGACTTATTCAAATGTATCATTAAAATCCCAAATAAGAAAAAATCCATAAAATACAAACAAATTTTGCGTCAGAAAGTGTTGTAAAAAGCAATTTTGAACAATTTGTTTTTTTTCTTGTCATCATAATTCTAATTGGCGTACACGTTTGGAATTTCGAAAGTGTATGAACTCGTCCCTCTACCTTTCTCTACGACTTAAATATTTGGCTTGTTTATAATAATAGAGTTCGAACTGGTGACCTACGTCACACATATCATGTGTATTGTCCCTACGATCGAATGTAAAAGGTCAAGTGAGCAAATAGCTGATTTCAGAACCGATATTTAAGACGTGAATGAAGTATATACGTTATTGTAAGATTAGTTGTTTTAGAATAAACTTCAAATTTACGGAAATGAAGTTACAAACTTGTATACGACTCTGAAGTTAGGCTTTGTGCAAGAAATTTTTTAATATTTTGTCTGAAGTTTGATTTGACAATCACGCGCTTATGAGTTTTGATAAATCATTTCGTTTCATTTTTTTTTTTTGTTTTTTAGTTCTATTTTACCGCTTATGAGTTTTGATAAATCATTTCATTTCAATTTTTTTTGTTTTTTAGTTCTATTTTACTCATGATATCTCATTCATTTCACCTAATGGTACCTCAATTTAATTTATTCCTTTTCAATCTGAAATTAATTCAAATTAAATAGAAATTTAAAGAGATTTACAAAATCACGAGTATTTTTACTTAAATACTTGACTTTGTTTGTAATAGAGTTGAACTCGTAACATATGTTCCATAAATCACGTGTAACGTCTTTACTATCGAATCAAAGTCCTAATTGTAAGGGCGAAGATAGCATGAAAAATACGATTCAACTTTGATTCAAATTTTGTATATTTCTCGAAAAATCCATCGCATATTTTGCTTCTTCTTTTGATAACGTGCGTCTCTGTAGGTATTCTGATCTTAACACTCATGTCTCTACTACTTTGTAGTTTATACTACCTTTTTCTTTTCTCTTTAAATTTCTTTTTTCAATTGATTTTTTACTTAGTATCCGTTATCCGAATTCAATTAATTCAAACGTCGAAAAGTCCCGCATTTAGATTCAAAAATTGTTACTTCTCATTAAAAATGAAAAAAATGTTTACCACTCTGACAAACCCTTACGAATACATTTTATATTGTCTATATACAACTAGAAGAAACTAAGATAATTGTATATGATATACACATTGCCTAATGTACCCAAATTGGGACATTTAAATTGGTCCAAACATAAAAATGAAATAATAATAGTAATATTAATCCAACTTTGTACCTTTAAGCTTTAGGGCATACTATATATGAGATTATTGTTTCTGTTAATTGATTATAATTAGAATGATTTCATTACCTAATATAAAACAAACACAACAAAGGATTAGCCCCCATAGTATCACTCACTTATTACTATGATTGCACGCAATTATTCATAAGAGTATCTGCTACCTTCTATCGTCACAAGTACTAAATTATTCCACATTAAACTCACTATTTACTATGGTTGCACACACCTAGATTATTCATAAAAATATCTGCTACCTTCTACCGTCACAAGTACTAAATTATTCCACATACAAAAAAATTTCGAAAGTGGTATTCAGGATTAGTTGTGTACACCTCAACTATTTTACCAGGTACTTGTTCCTCCCACCAATACAAATACCAAATATTTACTAAGCGCCCACTCTAACAATAATAATTAATAGCTAAACATGTTATTTTGTTCATTATAAGGTTCTTAATTTTGTAAAATTGTAAAACTATGTATGACTTTCAGTTTCATGTTTGGAAAGTTACATGACAATTCTGGGTCAGTAGTAATCTATTTTCATCTGATTTACAATCTAAAGTACAATGCTTCACAAGATCTTCCACAAATTTTAGATAGGAGACATCTTGTAAGATTGATGATCAAGCATTATTCCGGTTAACAAAAGCTGAACGAATTACTGCTCTTTCAGTGTTTAGCTATCGAATCCAAATTGAATAAATTGGCATATTAATTCAAAGACGACGATTCTTTAAGCAATCTGTGGTTTGATACAACAGAAACAAAACATAGGCAGTCACTAGCTAGCATCATCTCAGTGAATCTTGGCCAAACAAGAAACACCAAGCTAATGCGCTCTGCTAAGTATCTTCTAAACTTACTATACCGGGAGACAGAGAGAGACAGAGAGACGGTTCTTCTACCAGTGCCAATTGAGTTATAAACAGGGACGGGGGAAGCTCTAACTCATTGACATTAGCTTTGGACCGTTATCTGGCATGCCCATTCCAGCAGCTAAGTCGGCATCAAGTTGAGTGTGCGGTTTAGGGCCCATCATTATTTTCACACTGCATAAACAAAAGTACAAAACTATTCAGACTACCAACTATAATCACTAAAGCCACAGATTCACAATTCATAAGTCAAATTTGTATGCTTGGACCATATACACTTCAAATTGGATGTTTCTAGCAGAAAATCTAATTTATTTACGGCCAAATCAAATTGAATATGTAGTTCCCGACCATCTCAGTTTACAACTTATAATGTGTGACATTTTCAAGTTGTAACACCTATGTTTCTGTTACATTAACGTTTTAAGTTGTACCTCTGAAACAAAATCCTCCAATTTACCATGTGAGACATGTTGAATTATCCAAGAAATCCCTACTTGGACAATGCAAAGGAAATAGAGAAGCTGATAGACGAATAAAACACAATTTGTATGTTCAAGACTTCACACATTCATTAGCACCAGTTCTCTTTTCACCATTCACTTGCAAAAAGCTAATCTATTCGTTCACCCTGTCCTTGCAAGTGTGTAAGACTGTAGAGGCTCTACAATGTATATGACCTCTATTAGCATTTGTTGCCCCAATGCAGTCAAAACAACCAGGCTAGAATAAAAAGGCAACTTGCAAAGAACACTAAGCAAATACTGCTGCCAAATTCACTACTCGAAGTTATTCTATAATGCAAAACAGAATAACACTATTCTTCTTCAATCTCTGAAACTAACACACATTGAACTCTCTAGAGAATCAGCTGGTACTATTTGTTGGCAAAATGGTTTAACAGCAAATTATCAGGTATGTGATACTGTGTAGTACAAGCAGATGAGATGGTCTTCAGTCTACAATACACAACCCTAAAAGCACATCTCCTATGGTCCTCGACCCCTAAACTTCATGGTCCTGGTTAGTTGGACCATTGACCTATATCTGTCCAGAAAATTTGATGGCAAAAATGCAAGAATCAAGATGGTCCAGGACCATGTTTCCTTTGAAAGCTTTGAGCTTGTTTAGTTGTTGCCAGGCATGCTTTCCATCCTTCCCCAGTTTGTCAGTTCAAAATAAATTTTAGAGAAGGTTGTCTCTACTCCTAATGGACTCTGTGGGACATTATAATTTGCATTCTACTGTTTGTTATACTATAATAAGGAATGCTATGATAGACAGACAAAAGCGCTATTATATATTCCTGCTCTCTAAGAAGCTCCAAATTTGCTAAGGAATTGGTTGAATTTTATCGAAACGTACTTCTTTTCCTCCCTCCCTTGGTCAAGGTATCTGGAAACACATCAAGGCCATGTCGGATTTCTTTCAAGAAAACTCAACAATAAAAGGAGGCCGGTAGGAAAACAAGTTTTTGGTCTGAAAAGACATGGTTCTTTCTGAATTTATACAGTTTCACAACATTCAAAACAATTGTACTTTTTTTAATAGACAGGATATGGCTGTCTTATCAACTTTCAGAAGGAATCAAAAATAATTGGGAAATGGATAGCAACCTAAGTTGATTGGACTCTTCAGAAGCTCTCCTCCAGCTTCTTCCATATCTGATTGTCTCATTCAGAAGGTCACCCAAAGACAATTGGATAGGTACCGATGTTGATTGGATAGCCCATTACTACAACTTGAATGGTCTCCTTCTGGATATAACTATCCCAGGATCACCTTTTGTTGGTGTCTTAATAACAAAAGTTACTCCTTACCGATCAAAATAAAGAGGGTCTACTTCCTATTACAATGTTTGGGGCATGTCGGTCCAACTTCGTATTCTCTTAAGGATAATGATGTCTTATACTGAAGGAATATCACTAGGCATTAGTTCTTTTTTGCAACGATGGATTCAGGCCAGTTTGAATGCACCTCAACTGTTTCATCAAGCATCTACTACCACCACCAACCCGCACAAATACTGGGTAACTCTGCCACCAAAGCCTAGGCAGATGGAATGGTATCACCCAAACAATTTTTGTTTCTACTGGAATTTAAAGGACTTGCATTGCTTTTACTCAATTCATTGATTGCTATGCCACAGCCTTAGGACGCCTACATCTAACTGAAAGTCTGAAACACCTTTTAGCAACTAATCCTTCTGAAGTCAATAAGTTTGCCTTCAACTACAGTACCCTCACTAGTCTCTAGACAAAATACAATTACTTTGTCTCCTACAAATAGCTTTTTATAAGCAAGTCAAGGAAATCAAATCCAAGCAAATCATCAATTCTCAGCATTTAAGCTTCATTACCTCGCAGTAATAATCAGAAGAAACTATCCTCACCTAACTTCAATCTATTCACACAAATTCATCCCATAACAAATCAATAATTGCTTGTTGTTTCATCTGCTTCAATTACTGTGTTATTTGATGTTGCTACTATTCTTTCCTACTTCATTTTTAGCATGACTTCTTCACTACTGTATTTCCTTTCAATACTTGTTATTATGCTTTACTTGGACCTGGAATCTATCGGGAAAAAACCTATCTACCTTCACAAGGCAGGAGCAAGTATGTGTGCGCACTGCCCTCCCCAGACCCCACATGTGAGATTATAGTGGGTTTGGTGTTGTTGCAGTAAGAAATCAATAATTACCTCAACAACTACACAAAAAAAAAGTATTTTTTTCTCCAATTATTTAACAATTAAGCTAAAATCAATTAACATCTTACCGCTTCCTGTGCTTCTTCGTCTTGAAATGCTCATCCCTCACAGTAACATTTGCAAAATATCGACTAAAAACACACACAAAAAGAAGAAGTCATTTTTTATAAATTAAAAACAAAACCAAACTTCATGAAAATTAAAGCAGCGAAGTTTATCTTACTCGCAGTGCATACAGTAGTATTGACCCATTCCGGGAAGATCTTCGTCGACGGGCAACTCTTTCCGTTGCTCCTCCGGCTTTAACAGATCATCGTAAACAGCATCGTCTCCTTTAACAAGGAATTTTGTACGGCGAAATTGCTTGTGAGAGTATCTCCGCTTCTTCACGCTCCTGTGTGGACACTTTCCTCCCATTTTTTCTCTCTGCGAATTAGGGTTTTTTCCGATTGGATTGGGAATTTTTTTTGAAACCCTAGATTGTGATTTCAAAGGGGATAATTTATCTATATATACTTCTATACTGGACGGCGTCGCTTTGGTCGTGGTCTTGTTTAGATTATTATTATTATTATTATTATTATTTTAATAAAATATTTAGAGGTCGTTTGATTATTGGTTAGAGTCGTGTATAAAAATTTGCATAATTTTATACATTATTATTTGATTATAAAAATGATAAAAGGATAATCCTCACATAAAATCTAGCATAAGTATAATATTCGGTTGCCTTTTTTTTTTTCTCTTTATATAAGGTATACTATTGTTAATACAATATTTGGATTATATATTTTTTTCTTCGTATAATTAATTTATACATAAGTTATTCGTCTTTTAAAGACATACATGAAGGAGCCGAAACTTGGAGAAGGCTCAAAACATTTTTCAAGTATCTCATGTAACTTGTTAGTAATTCAAGAAAATGAGGAGATTAGTGGTGTTATTACACGTCATATTAGAATGAGTGGATGAATTGGAGGCTCGCATATGGTGGATTGTGATAAGAATGTTCACCATTACTCAAAGGTAAGTTTTGTAAAGTGATTGTTTAACCAATTATGTTGTATATGACACAATATTAGTCAGTCAAGAACTCACACATCCAGAAAATAAAAATAGAAAATTTAAAGATATTAAGATGGATGTGTGCTCATATTGTAAGAGAGAAAAAAATTAAAAAGAAGATATTCAAGATAAGTTGGAAGTGATCTTCACAGTGGACAAGATGATGGAGGTGGACTGAGATGGTTAGGAAGCGAGAAGAGGAGATGCACATGAGTTGCCTAGCAAGTAGGTTTGAGAGGTTGCCTATTGTGTAGTGCCGGAGCCAAAAATTTTATTAGGGGTGTCAAAATATAAAGTAAAAATATATAACCGCTGCTATAAAGATAGAACACACAATCTCAAGTAGTTTTTGCAACCCCTTAATTAACAACTACACTAAACCTTCAACTTATATATATATTTATTAAACCAAATTTTTACCTATATATACAATGTAATTTTCCAACGAAGGGGTGTCGCTTGACACCCTTGCTCTAGGGTAGCTCCTCCGCTGCTATTGTGGGTACGAAGAGAGGTAGATAGACCGAAACAATATTAAGGAGAAGTGACTAGATACGACATGATACATACATAACTTGTCAAAGAATACATGATCCTAAAAGAAGGATATGGAGATCGATGATTAGAGTAGAAAGTTAGTAGGTAGTCAAACGCCATTTTCCTTATCCTTCTTGTTCTTATTACACATCCAACAATCTCCTTGTTCGAGATTATTCGATTTTGTTATTATTATACATACTGTTTTCTTTGCTTTAGATACTGTATTACTTATTGTTGCAATTATTCTCTTTCTCCTTTGTTTTTACCTAACTTTTTTACTATTATATTTTATTTCTGTACATATTTTTTATATATATTTTACTTGAGTTGTAGGTCTATTAAAAATAACATTTTTATCTTTATAATATAGAAGCAAGGTTACGTATACACCATTTTCTTCAAACCTTACTTAAAAAATCACACTGAATATATTATTACGATATATTTGAAATCGTCTGATTGCTAGTTAAACTTATTATGGTAAAAAATTCTTACCTTATATATTTTAAACTCAATAAATAAATACTATTGAGCTGGTCCTGTGTGCATTATTTAGGATAAGGAAGAAAATCTATTGAAAATGACAATTCAATATTAGGGTTTCCATACACTTGACAAGTGCATGGCTAAGGATAGCACATCATCTCTTCACATACCTCTACGGGTGTTCACAATTTGTATAAGAACCGATTTAAATTGATAAAATAAAATCGATTTTATTTGGGTTTGGTTTGATTTGATTTTATATTTTTGAAAACCGATAGTATTTGGTTTGGTTATGATTTTATTCGAAAAAAACGAAGAAATAACCGAACCGATGAATTATATACATATATTTTATTAATATACATACTTAATATATTATTTTTATAAACAATTTTAAAGATCTTATACATATTTTTATTAAAATTTACTTTATAAATTTACTTATTGAAAACAAAAAACGCCCAAGATAGAAACATTTATCTTATTGATTTCATATATATGAGTGTCTATGACAATTTTTTGTGGGATTAAAAATGTTATTGTATCTTCCTTCTAGGTCAATATAGTGAATTTTAGAACTTTATTGATAGTAAATTTAGTGATCGAAAGTTCAGTAATTTAAGTCATTTTAACTATTTTTCGTTTTGAATGAATTGTTGTCACTTTTTTCACATTTTGAATGAATTGTTTCTTTTATTTTTGTGTATGGTTAATAACCGAATAACCGAACCAAACCAATCCGAAACTGATAACCACCAAACCGATAAATGTATATTATATTTGGTTTGGTTTGATTTTGATAATTTTAAAACCGATTAAGTTGGTTTGGTTTTGATTTTGATTTTGATCAATAACCGATCCAAACCGGCCCGTGAACACCCCTACCTCTCAATTACAATTATCAAAAAAAACTTCTTATTTGGTTTGATCATTTTATTTTTACTATATAATTTTTTCTAGGTAAATATCTGCCTAATATGAGGTAATTTTATAAACTTAAATGATTGATAAGATATTAGACCTTTGGGTAACGTTTACAAGTTTAAAATCAGTGTCTAATAAAATCTTTTAGTTCGTTTAAAAGAGATTTTTAAATCGTGATTCAAAAGGTTTAGAAATTGTAAAAAGATAAATAAAAAGAGAATCATTACTAAATATTTGTCCCAAAAATGAACTATCGGTGCATTTTGTCTGAATACGTGTCACTTACGATCGATTAAAAGAAAACGTTCAGATATTTTACCATCTTATTGCTCGAAGACTAACATCTAATTATATTTTAGGTGAAGAAATTCTATTCATTTCACCACAAACTTTAATGTGTAGAAGTAATTATTCGTCTTTGAAACACAATGTCATTGATATCCTATATCATCTCGATAGACGGGTCTGCCTCGTTGCGAGTCAACACCTAAATAGTTGTATTATTGCAATGAAAAATCAAATAAGAATCTTGATGAGCAAATTAAATCTACTAAAGTAATATTTTCTTAACTATAGAAAAAAAGATAAGTGTCAACTTATACCTCGATTAATTCGTTGAATACTGCTATCTCCCATCAACACAAGTTCAACCGATGCTTGCACTTAGTGCAACAACTTCGAAAGGTAAAGATTGGGAAACCAATGGAAGGCCAAGATACCATTTTTGTCTGCATGAGCACCAACACCTTTCTGCATGAATTATACGCTAACAAATTCGTTCACTAAGGTGCAGGTGCAAATGCAGATAAAAATGTCTCTTGTTTATAGAAATAAGTCTACATTAGGACGAAGCGTTAGTAAATATAATAGTAAATGTGATGAAAATAAGACTCGAATATAATAGATCTGGACGCCTAGCATGAAAGAGCCTTCATATTCTCACAACCTCTCCCCACACACATATATGTGGCATTGAGTGTTGGTATTATTTATAATTATTGATGTGGTGAATTCTTGGGATTTGATATGGACTCAAAAAGATGTAAGCTACACAACAAATCAAACACGTGGAGAGATGAAATAAATAAATAAATAAAAAAACAAAAAAAAACATAGGATATATAAGTTTCATTCAAGAAAGAAGCTTCTAGTTGTATAGTTCAAAAGTAGAAGTTGATTGTTCCGCCTTTAATCAACGGTTTTGAGTTCGAATCATAAATATGAAAAAGTTATATTACGAAGCAGTTCTCCGCTTAAATGAATTTACACGACATGATTTGCATCTGTAAGAATTCAATGTGAATATCGGACACCGAAACAAAAGAGAGAAAAAAGTTTGAATGGTCAGTAGAATGGTTAGACAGAAGTCACGTGGTGAATAGGCTTGGGCAGATGCTATTTATTCTTGGTGACCAATGATATAATGACACGTGGTCTGACCAAATGCAGGCACACTAACTCCACCTGATCAGGTGCCTCAGTCTGTCTAGTGGAATGGTGAGTAATGCCATTTTCAAACCAAACTGTGAGTAAATGGAAATCAACTATGAATAAAGAATTTAAACTTGATGAATTCAATCCTGATTTTTCACGTATATTTATGTTTTATATGAACACTGCTAGATTCAGTTCAACACATTGTTGCATCGATCTTTTGTCACACTTAACCATTGAGTCGAACTCTAAGAATGAAAGATCTTTATCACGAGGTGTAATAGAATGTTTGAAACCTTTCTGTCCTTAACTAAAGGTCTCAAAGTTTGAAACTTAGGAATGTAAGTCTTAATGGATAGTTAAACCCACGGCGGAGGTAGAGGGGATTCAATCTCTCTGCCTCCCAACTCCCAAGGTAGGGGATAAGTTTTGTGTCTACTCTTCAAATCAAATTTGTATAATTATTACAGTGAGTATATTATTATTGTTGTAAGGTCAAATTTTTGTACATGTATGTATAGTTAGATGATAAATCCTGTTGATGAAAATCCTGCCTCGACTACTGCTTTAACTCTAGCAAAAGACCAATTGGATGGAAGAAACAAGAAACTTTTGATCTGACCTACATGCTACAGCTTACAAGCACACTAAAATTCATTCATATTTGATCAATTGGATGACAGTATTATTAATTTCATGTTTTCAAGTTCAGTAGCTACATCATATCTTCAACATACATAAAGCAAAACACCAAAGGGCTATTATTTATCATCTAGATCTATTGAACGGTCAGCAACTTTCTCTACCAAACTCAATGGATAATGGATCTGCCTAGTTTTTCTTTACTTAGATACTATACTTTTGACTGCAATAATGTTGAGTAATGGAAGTACAAAAAAGAACAGCTAGTAACAAAAACAAAACAGTTCAAAAATAAATAAATGGAAGTATCAAGAAATAACAAATAGTAACAAAAATGATAGATAATAATTGTACAACAAGATAATACGATAGTCGAAGTACAAGAAACAACAGATAGCAACAAATATGGAAGGACAAGAAACTATAAGAGTAATACTATGAATACCAATATAGATGGACAACAAGACAATGCACTCCTACCTACTAACCTTCTACCCTTATTCATATCCTCCACAACATCCTATCTAAGGTCATGTTCTCGATAAACTGAAACTACTTTTATCATAATTTCTTCGAATATAATGTAAATCTATGTACAAGAAAAATTTCCACTAGACTAACAGTGGCAGAAGTAATTACTCTTCTAATTTATCAGATATTAGCATCACCTTGATGATGCATATGACATGAACAAGACATAGATCGCCTTTTTGGAGAAAACATGAGAAATAAGCTAATAAATACCTTGAAGCAGGAAAAGATGCATGAATCTGCACTTAGAAATGGAAAGAAGAGATCGTATACAGCAAACTTAATTCATTGTCATATTAATTTTATTTACTTTTTTTTTAAAGCAAATTTACCACTAGACAATGTCTAGCGGCCTTTTATTAAACATAAAAAATATCAATAGGAATAAGTACAAGCAAGGGGGCTAGGGCTTACCTTACTAATTCTAATGAAGTAAGAATTGATGGTCTTAGGAAACACATTGAAATAGACGCTCACCTGTAACACCAACATGTTTTGAAAACATATGAGGTAAGTAATCGAACAGCAATATCTCGGTAGCTAAACTACATATTCGAGTAGATTATCCAGTCCTCCCTAAAGAAAAACACATAGATGTGCAAGATTTCTCACTAAAGCATACCGATCCTCCTCTCCACAACTATTAGATGTCACCTGATCCATCAATTCAAACAATAATCACAAGCACCAATTGACACATGCACAAATTAATCTTTAATGATCAACAACCGATTTGGGTAAAAGAAGGAACCATCAACAACCAAGTGTTCGTCCAGCAAATTGGGATATTCAAGTGGTTTGATTGATTAGCAGCATAGGCGTGATAAGGTTCAAGTTAGATGAACAGGAAAGTAAGGTTTGAGAGATGAAAAGGTGTGACCATGTACCGCTGCTCGATTTGTGAGTAACTGGAAAATAAGAAGCAATCTTCCCATTTAATCGAGCACTTACCATGGAAAAGGAAATGAAGTATCAAATCTTGTAACAAAATCAGCATTCAGGGAGAGGTTAAATGTGAAGCATGCACAACAGCACTAGAATATAGAATTGAATTCAAGGCCATGATTCTTAAAATTACTCTAATCATTTGTGTAGTATGGGTCTACTCTGATCCAACAAATTTAAAAGTAACAGAAAAGAAAGCTAGGTTGTAATAGATGTGCATTAATTTCTTTGAAAAGATTGTTTAGATCTAATTTAAAGCAATAAACAAAAGAAAAGATAGAATGCTAATATATTGGACTATTATCAAGTAACACACAAGCCATAAGTTGTTTTACTTCAATAATTCGATTATAGATGTCCAACCCATAAATGTTTTAAAGTTACTTGAGAAAGAAAGAAACCACTAGCATCTGAAAACATGTCAGATTTTCAAACATGAGGACTGCTGAACCATCTTGTCAATTATCACAATTAGGACAAATATCCGCGACATACACATAATGAGTACCAATTTGGCCACATCGCCCAACATAACATTACAGAAAAACCAGTTGGAAGTGTTTAAATAATATATTCGATACTATTTCAGTAATGGAACCTAAACATTGAGAAACAAACCACACCATAAGTGTTTGACATGCTATGTACAAGACTCAATAATGTCTTCCAGGGAAAAACAGGCCTTGCTCATACGTTGGTCACCAGAAACTAAACTTTTTCTATCAGCACCAATCCATATATCACAATAGAAGAGACTTGGTCAGCACAGGGATGGAATCTAATTTTCAGGAGATTGTTGGGTAATTGGGAAGTGGAAAGGGTGGTTGAACTACTAGAAAGGGCAGAAAATCTTACAGGGACGAACACTGCTCCTGGCTCCATCAGATGGAGGCACAATGAAGATGGACATTTCTTAGTAAATAGAGTATACAACAGGGGTTTATCTGAGATGACAGGAAGCCTTGAAAAACTACATGGAAGAGCATGGCACCAACAAAGGTGAAATGCTTTCTATGGATGGTAGTAAATAAAGCATGTCTCATGAAACACTTCAGAGGAGGAAAATCCAGATAGCATCTAGATGCTCTTTATGTATGGAGGCAGCAAAAACTAACAGTCACTTATTCCTTCATTGTAAGGTAACATCTCCAATCTGGGCACTCTTTTTCTGTCTGGCTAGGGAGGATTGGACAATGCCAGAACATAATGCACTTACTAAGCTGTGCTACATCAGGAGTGGGATGTAAGAGTAAAAAATGGTGGAAAACGGTACCAGCTTGCAGTTGGTGGAACATATGGAAGGAGAGAAATGAAAGGATTTCGAAGGCAGATCTAATTCCATTCAAAAGATCAAATGGAATTGTATTACCTCTCTATGTTTTTGGTGCAAAGAACAATGTAATCACACTTTTTTGATGGTGGCCAGCATTAAGGGTATGCTGAGGAATACATTAATTACAAAACTCCTAAGAAGTCCACTATCTGTACTTCGGTTTGATTGTCAACTGTACTCCGAAGTCCACTATCTCTATTCCTCAGCATTAAGGGATTGTTAACTTTATCTTTTAGCGCCCACATGCTTATTTATCCCTATGCATACTTGTAGAATAGAGGTTGTTATTCAAGATCATAGATATGATTACAGATATCATATCCTTACAAGATCTTGAAGTCTATAACTGTGAAAAGAGATTTTTCACACAATCACATGGAAACAGTAGTGGAGATCTCAAGAATTCTTAGTTATGCTAGGCATTGTGGAGGAGATTTCCAGGACAATACGAACTTAAAGAATCTTAACTGCATCTGAAGTTGCTTAAGAACCTAAAGTGGTTGGTCCGAAATTCATTTTTGTTATTACTTAATTAATTCCCCACAATTCACAACTATCACATTCCCAATTTGAAAGGAATAAATTTGGAGTACTACAAAGAGAATATAAAATATAAAGCATCAACAATGCTGAAATCTATTCTAAATACTCATGCAAACTCAAGACACGATATATATAAGATTAGAAAATATAAAATATGTGAGAAAGAGAAGAAAGACCAAAAGCATTTTTATGCATATACTGATGAGGTATATTAAACTGAGAAAAGTCAGGCATCTAAGAATTAAAGAGAAATAGATCAAGAATAATCACATGGTTGAATATAATCTGCAATATCCACCTACATCCTCATGTACAGAATTACAAAGTTTTCTCATAAGTTCAGGGTATATGTTGCTTCAGATCAATGAATAAACACAA